CCCGGCCGGACCTCCCCGCCGCTCCCCGCCGCCCCGCTCGCCGGGGGCCGGTCGCTCTTGGCGGAGTGGGGCGACCCCCGCGGGGCGGCCGGGGGTCGGTGGCCCCCGCTGTGGCGACTGGCCCTGGCCCGGCGCCGGCCCCGGAGCGCGTTTGGGTTTTCCCGCAAAGGCGTTAAAGGCGGCTTTAAACTTTCTTTCCGAACTGTTAATTAGATACGCTGGAGTCTACTCGCGTTTCGTGCAGGCGAATGGAAGTGCGAGGCTGGGAAGGCTTGTGACTCAAGGCACAGCTATCCGGGGCCGCAGCACACCTACCCCTGCCTGCCCGGGCCGGGCTCCACCTGGGAACGGGGACTCTGCCCGCGCCGGGGCTGCGCCAGTGGCGGTGACACCCCGAGACGGAAGGGATCAATAACGATCTGGGCCCTTTCGGGGTTAATCAGACGCTCGGGCGAATATACAAAGGAGGAAGCTTAAGTTTATCGCGGCTCTGAAACCTCACGGACAAATAGTGTTGCCTTTGTCTGGTGAATTACAGCCCCACGGTCCCGTCCCTGTCGCTGGGCTCCTCACGGAATGAGAACTTGCTCTGGGGGGAACTTGATGCTTTTGTAACTAAGGCTGTTACCTTGAATGTGATGATTAGCTTATTGAACACCAGAGGGAACTCTGAATAGGTAATTCATCCGAGGGAGATACATGCTTATTTTACTGTTTATGTTCTCATTACAATGGAATCTAGAAGGAAGCAAAGGTTGGTAAGTAATAGGCTGCTGGTATGTACCTAGGATTGGCTTCAGCTTGCTTTACGGTTCTCTTCTAAGGGTTCCGGTGCCAAAGCTGGGCTGAAAAAGTCTTTTTTTTTTTTTTTTTTTTTTTTCTTTTTCAAAGCTACAAATCTATCACTCGCCTTGCAGGAGCGAGGTTGTGCACCATGCTGTAGGCAAACCACCTGGGTGACCCACTCGCTGCGAGCTGGGGAGTGAGACCAGAGCTGGGCTCTGGGCTGGTGCCTGATGCCCAGCCCGTCCGTCTCCTGGGCTGGGAGGCAGATCCGGTGCGCTCCGGTACGGGGGCTGCCGCCTGCGCTGGAAAAGCCAGAGCAGAGCCCTCTTCCAGCCAAAACAAAAGGGAGGAAGTCTGCTCCCGAGCCTGGCGTGGTTTGTCCTCCTTGCCTTGAATACTTGTGGTTCTGAAGCTCTGGCAGGAACTTGGTCTGATTGCATGTGAAATAGGAAATTGTCTTTCTTGGAATATGTTACTTAAACCGATACAGAAAGTAGACGATGGCTGTGTTTGGGAAAGGAGTTTGAATAGTGGGTATCAAAGAGCTTTTCAGATGATCTGATAGAACTATTGAGAGGCTGGTGTCAACCCACCAAAATGCGATGCTGTGTTTTGTAGCAAAATGAGCCCCCAAAACATGCACCTGAAGCCTTGGATGCTCATGAAAGTCTGTGCAACAATTTTGATAATCAGACTTCTTTGATAACCCCGGATTGTCGATGATGTGGGAAGGACAGCGCAATTAAGTACACTCGTGACTCTGACTTATGCTTCAGGAGCTGAAGCATCCAGCTGTTCATCCTGTCCCTTTGCCAGAGGTTACTCTGCCATTCAGCCTCGTTTCCTATTGGACTTTGAGTGTGCCAGAGGTTACAGCCTGGCATATGAATGTAAACTGCGTTTTATGGCTGCTCCTGTTAGTGTGTAATGTTGTGAAGGCCAGTAGCATGAGCTTCCTGTTCATCCCTGCGTCCTGGCAGAGGGACAAGGCAAGCAGCTGGGGTCAGCTACATCGTGCTGCAGTTGTGAACTGGAGCCTGTGAGCACCTCAGTTCCTCTGGAACGGCAAATGTGACTCCAACCAACTGTCTCGTACCGGGTCTCGGTGGACAGGGGTAGCAGGGAGGCAGCGCGGCACAAGGAGAGGTTGAATGACCTTCTTGGTAGGTCTGACACAGCACATGGGGCTCTGGGCTTCCTAATGACAGAGCAGACAGTGCACCCAAACAGCCCTCCTCTTCCTCTTCTCCTCCTCCATCCATTCTGGGAATTAGCAAGCGAATGGGCTGTGGGTTTTTTATCCTCTTAGGCAAATCTTGCTTTGTCCATATGACTTAAAGACCTATTCTGTAAAATATCCTCACTGAGGGCACAGCCCTCTCCCGCCTGCATTTTCCTACAGCTGTTATTGGAAGTGGGATAAAGGCTTTAAATAGCTTTACAAAACTGGGAGCTGTTTGCCTTACATGCAGAAGCTCCATAAGAACAAATCTACATTCTGAAGAGACACCCCCTTCATGAATGCCTATTAAGAACAGAAAAAAATCCTGGTGGCTTGTTGCTAATGGGTTTGGATGCTGACTTGGTTTTGAGAAAATGATTTGCACGTTCATTTATTTTTATGAAGATGTAATACTAAGCATTTGTATTTCTGTAATGGCTATAATTTGGAATTTTCATACACTTTTAAATTATTTATTGTATGAAGCACTGAACGAAGATATTTATTACACTAGTGTCACATTCTGGATATGGAATTACAATTGTAAAATTAAGGTAACAAGCTTAAATTGGGGTTTGCAACTTTAAGTTCTTGCCAGCAAGCAGTTAATGGCAATGTTAACTGCTAGTAAAGTAATTGCTACCGTTCTTCTACTGTCATTTTGTTCTCACTTTCCTCCAGTCAGACTGTTCCGCAGAGATATAATGAATATTCACCAAAATAGCTTGGCATTGTCACTTATGCAATTCCTCATCAGATCCAATGTGTTGATGAGCTAATGTGCACTTGATTAAACGTACTTGATTTATGCAAACAAAAACTGTAGGTCCTTCTTGAAGTAAAGTTAGCACCTGCACAGCTGTTAGTGAGATGAGAGTCTAAATAATTAAGATGGAATTAAGTAAACAAACAACCTCAATGTGGTGTTCCTCCTACTTCTTTACCTTTATCTTGTACTTCAACTCAGTAGTAGATATTTATTTTGGCTTTTCTTGCAGGTTTTCTTGTGCACTATGGGAGTTTGTGAAGCTCAGCTTATAGCGGGGGGGGTCCTCTTCTATTTAAATGGCTGCCATTACAGTAAAATAGCTAATTAAAAAAAAAGATCAGTATCAGCTATACTAAAGCCAGGGGTAACTAGAATTCATGGAGTATTTACTTTAAGAGTTTTGTTTAAGTATGAGGTTGGCTTGTTAATCCTTATTTATAAAAGATATAAACTAACACAGCCCAAGTAAGTCATTGAGGTGGTGTCAGTATAAAAAAAAAAAACAAAACACCAATATTTGTGTAGTAAGTAGTTTAACTTCCTACTCTTTTCTTGGTCAAAACTGATGTAGACAAAGTGGAAATAAGGAGTGGAAGATAGCTGTTTTATCTAACCATCAGTGTCTTAGTGTTACAAAAAGCCCTCAAACTGTCTGCAAAACTGCTTAGATCTGGCTACAAAAAGAGGCTGAGGAGTCCTTGCCCCTGAAGGCTCTAGATGATGGGTGGAGGAGAGAGAGGACATGTGCTTGCCCAAGCCCTGGAGCAGCAGGGTAGACTGGAGAACCATTCAAGGGACCTTGTGGGGTTAGGACTTTATTTGTTTATCTGTTAAAATTGAGTATTTGTCAGTTTCTGCCTCTGCAGTGAAGTCTGTGGTAGTACATCACCTCTCTCTTTCCTTCTCAAATGGTTGAGGTAAGACTGTTGACATAATGTCCAGAAGTGCCTGT